AGTTAGTATTTCTGCATGGTATGACTTAAAACAATGTCCAAGAGTAGAACACACAACAAGCTAAGTTTCTATAATTACCTTCCTTACTGAATACGTTTTCTAAAATGGAAAAGAAAGTTCCTACTTGACCGTGGAGTTTGCCCTTTTACTCAGGTTTTCAAGGAAAAGGCCAGACCGCCATCCCTTAAAACAGACTGGGCAGGCATTTATGTGTGAATCAATTCAGAGGTTTGTAATTCCTTTCCATAAAAGCCCATTCCTGCTCTAGAGGCCTCTGGGTCCTCATCCTTTCCTCTTAGCTTCTTCTAGAGAAAAACTCCCACCTCCACTGTGTCATCCAGCAGAAAAGCACAGAGGGGCCAACTTAGCTTGGAAGGGTGCCCAAGGAGGGGAGGGGGCAGGTCAGGGGGATCAACTCGGGGGGGGCCCAAGAGCAGTGAACTGTAAGCACTACCTCCATGAGAAAGCCAGCATCTAAGCATTGTTTTGCTGTTAAAATGGTAAGAAGCTTTTCTCCTATTCATAATTCTGGATTAAACGAAAACTCAATTCATAAAAGAGTTTTTGTTGTTGTTTCTTGTTTTTTTAAATCAGCACTAGGTGTAATACTTAAATCTAGCAGAAGAGAAAAACCAAAATAAGGTCGCCGACCTTTCTGCTGGCCTTTAGAATAACGCTGACTTGTAAATTAAACATGGGGGCAGGGGCACATGATGATCAGAAAGAAACTGAAATGTAATGCTGACTCATTCAATACTCAAGTAGAAACCCGCCTTGAAAATGGCCTTCTGCTTTGTTGCTCACATGGGGAGTCTCCTGGAGGAGAAAAACTTCAAGGACAGACTGCAGGTTCCAGGGCTCTAAACACTTCAGCTCATCTGAGCCAGCACGTGTGGGGATGCGGCCAGCTGAGGCCACACCTTTCCAAGTTATGAGAACTGATCCATTTCAGGGGAAAATGCAAACTTACGGCCATAGCTGAAAAGCCAAAGACACCTGTGTGTGCCATTTTTACTTGCTCATTACCATCTCAGAGTCACGGTTACTTCCCACATTGATTTAAAAATGAAGGGATTGCCTCGTTACAATTATTAGCAGAGACAAGGAGGCAGCTAACCCTCTTGAAGAACAGTCAGTGAGTGATTTCTAAGTGAATTCTACAGAACAGTGATGTGACAATAATGGCAATACATTTAGGAGATGGTGTAGCAGTTTTCTCTTGCGCTGTGTTGTTTCTGTTTTCTGTTCCCCATTAGGGCCACACCTGCCTTCAGAGACCATAGCTATTGAGTCAGGTGGCTCTTCCCAAGATCAGCTCAGCCCAGCAGCCCCAGTCCTAGAAGAAACAAAGGCCAGGCGCTCACTGGCCTCTCTGCTGCTGCTCTTTCATTCACAGGGGTCATCTTCTAAGAGGCCTGAGAGGGGGATTTGATGTCTCTGCTTTAATTTAGAAACACTTGCAATATTTTACACTAATTGTTTTATTGGAATGGTGACTGAACAAAAGAATAAAGTATCCTGGGAACTCCAACTAGTGCTGTTATGCTGTGATAAAAACATGGGCACACCCAGACATTGGTGGTGGCATATACAAGGATGGGACCACTTTGCCTCAAGCTATAATTCTCAGACCAGGGGCCAGAGCAGAAATAGGCAGCATGCTACTCATGAGCACAGCCTTCCCTGAGACTCTGAGTAGGACCCATCTCTCTGTCACGTGGAGGTTCGCTTCTGTGTGTACCCTACAACTTTGCTGCCCTTTAACTTTGCCCCCCGTCCCACCTTAAAGACAGAAGGCTATGGGTGTATGGCTGGGACAGATGTCCTGGGAGATGAGAGCGCTGGCTCTGGGGAATGACACCAGCAAAACACTCCCTTCCATTCTCCTGCCCCAGCAGACTCCACGAGGGCAGGGCCCGGAAAACGCTCCCGGTACCAGGCGTACCTGGCTTCCGAAAACTACCAGCAGAAGATTTCCGAGCAATAGCCGGAGTCTCAGGTGTTCACACTTTCTGCGGGTCTCTGTTCATGTATTTGCTTTTCTTCTTTGAAGCCAAGGCCTGAATATCATGGGAATGTAGAACCAAAAACCAATGCAGGTGAGCTGCCCCCAAGAGGCTGATCCCCATCTTAGCCACAAATTTTAGAAACACAGACTGTCAGACTGTTTCATCAGAAACTTTACTTCTGAAATGATAAGATGGGCAGGAATGAACTGGTTACTATTGCTGGTATTCTCATTGCCAGGAAACCCATTTTTAATCATTTTAGGGAGACTAGAAAGGAGGGAGATACAACATAATGCAAATAAGCTACTGGGTGGAAGTTTATTTGATGGATAAATTTGATGGAATTTTTTGGAAAAAAATTTGGGAACATGTGGCTAAGTTTGGAAAAATTTGAGAAGCACATAGTTAAGATTGTTTCTTTACCTGTCCAAAAGTATAGAAAGATAGCACGACATTAGCTTTTTCAGCCATTAGAATAAGGACATTACCTGGGCCCTGTCACAGATCCCTCATACGACAGTGAACAGTGTTCCTGTGTGTGTGTATGAACTGAGAGGTATGCTCCAGAGATGCAGAAATTATTAATCAACGGACCAAACAACAGTGAAAAGGATCCCCAAAATGTTCTCTTGTCAGGAAGGACAACCCTGGTAACCAGGTTTGAGAGAAGGTCAGTGATACCAGTGTACATAAGCTGATGGGCTGAGGACCAGAGAAGTCAAGCGACCGGTTTAAAACTTGGAACAGAATCCACATCTTCTAGTCACAGTGTTCTTCCAATTATTGTTTCTAAGGGGTACTATACAGAATTTGGGGTCAGAAGTTTTTTGGGAAGGTGAATATCCTGCCATAGAATGTAAAAGGATTCCCGTGTTAACAAAAGGCCTACGGTAGATGAGTGTTAATTAACCTGTATCTCCAATAAGGCTCATCAGCCGGAATTATAAGGTGGGAGAGAAAAAAGAGGAAAGAGAAAGGCGGAAGAATTAAGGTGGGTATAAAGGAAAGATGGAAGGAGAGCAAGTAGGGGAAAGGCAGGAGAAGGCCCAAAACAAAACATTTAATATTTTGTGGTCACTAGTCTATACTGTGTCCTACTGATTATAAACAGTCATCAGAAATAGTTTCTCCATTTCATCCAAGGCTGTGGTGTATTTCTTCCCGTACCACGCCAGGGCACTTCCAATTCCGATTCAAAAGGAAGTAAGTCAACAACTGAGTCACCAGTACCATTTCCTGGAGCACCTGGGTTTTCCTTGGACATTACTTATGAGGCTGAGAAGCAGCAAAAAACAGAGGGGAAGGAGAGAAACACACACGGTTGCTTTATTGAACTACCCTGACAAGATAGCTGAAATTAAAAAAAAAGCCTCCTCTTTAGTGGTAAGCTGTACCTCAATGTAAAACCTCAAAATATGAGAGAAAACACTAGGTCAGTGCAATAAAGCGACACACTCATCCGTTCCACCTGCACTCCTCATTCAGGAGCAAGAGGGGAGGGAAGATGTTAACTCCGTGTCACACAGCAGCCAAGTTCCTTTCCAGCTTTCCTGACTGACTATACAAATCTCTTCCCACAAGGGTCATAGAGGTGGTTTCACTTTCCAATCGAACCACCTTAAAATGAAAGCCACCTAATCTGTAAAACCTAACCGTTAGGTCTGAGATTTCAACTGTCTTTACATAGAAACCATTCACAAGGATCCTAAGAACAAAAGATCATTGTCTTTGGTAACTTGTGACTCTAGCTGTTCAGATGCAACCAGATGGAAAATATGCTCCTGTAGGAAGTGATGAAGGGCCCCTTCTTTCACATCAAAATTTCATCAAGAGAATTTTATCCAATTTTTATGTTATATTTGGTTAAAACATGTTTTCCATACACGATAGGTTACTTTTTGCCTAAACCTAAGCCTGTGTTCGAAATCTTTTATTCTCCTGAATTTCAAGACTAGTTAGCATGTGTTTCTCCCCCAATTCCACATTTTCTTTCTTAAAATCCTTAGTCTGTTTGCTCAATCACACAAAAATAGACTAAAGCAAGGATAAATGAATGAACCGAATTAAGATCTACAGGTACAAAAAGTATAGGTGCTTCTCAGAAACGACAGTGCCCTACATTGTTTCCTTCCTGAGATTCTGTTTGTAGCTTAACAAGACCAGAAATGCATTTGGTCCCCATTCAGCCCAGAGTTGCCTCAAAACAGGGAGACTCCACCATGAAGACCCTTCCAAGGGCCTCAGGGGATAGAAACAGCAAATGGGGGCACACCTGTTTCAGATATTCTAACCCACAGGGTGATCACACATGGTAGAGTGAGACCTCCAGGTGCTGCTCCACTCCCTGCAGACAGCACCCAACAGTACAGCACCACTGTGCACATGTGGCGTTCAAACTGAAAAAGGAAAACCAAACTGTGCTTCCAGAGCCGAGGTAGTTTAACTTTTCAAAACCATTTATGCAGATCACATGGAGCAGAAAGATGACAATCAATTTTTAATACTAACAAATGAATGGCTAGACACTGGGAACTCCAAAATAATTAAGACCCTATATTTTCCTTCAGTAGCATTTCCTACAAATATATATGTTTTAATGCACAACTGCTTTCTAAAAAAAAAAATCCTCACTTGATGATATGATTATTGCTTTGAGAGAGAGAAACATCGATCAGTTATGGGCCCCGCCTAGGGACTGACCCACAACCTAGGTATGTGCCCTGACCCGGAATCAAACCCACAACCTTCTGGTGAATTGATCGACGCTCCAAGCAACTGAGCTGCCCAGCCAGGGTTTAATGCACAATTCTTTATGCTACTTCAATTCATATTCATTTTTCAGTCAATAACTATTGGCTTAAATATTTCTCTACTTACATTCTTTTTTCCGTGTTTAGCACATCTTAAAAAAGAATAAAAAAATAAAATGGTATTTGTTCAGGAATTTTACTTTTCAAATGGTGTTTTAGATGAATATGAAAATACACTTACCTCATCCCATTCCAAAAGGTAGTTGGCGATTTTGGAGCCATTGTCAACTGGTGCCTAAAAAATAAGAGGAGGAAGAATTAGAGAAAGTTGTTTATAGATCTAAGTCATGAGCTACCCACTTAGTTCAAACGTAATGGCTATGTTAGTGCTATTCTATAACCCTGGATACTCCTGTATTCCTTGGTCAAACATAATCAGAAACCAATTTTAATAAAATTCAACTGTAAAGAAAGTCATCCACTATTAATAAATCATTACCACAAAGAGCCAAACCTGCCTCCCCTACCACCTCTGCCTTTACACCTTTATCTTCTGGGGAAAATACCTCTAAGAGGCAACTTTAAGTTTAAGAGTAGAGGAGAAATAAGGCAGCTAAGAAATACAGGCACTGCTTGGGGTCTGCCAGAAATAGAACTGACCCACTAGGTTCAGAGCTAAGAATTTGTGTATTTGTGGCATTAAGATTCCCCCAACTATTTTTAAAGCAAAAATGAGGAAAACTGGGATCCTCTGACTGATTACCAGAGACTATTAGACCTTTATAAGTTAGCAAAAAAAGGATCATTTGCTTTCCTCTTAAGAGAATGCTGAGATCTGCTTCACTGAGAAAACAAGCTTTGGATAATGGGGGGATGGGGGCGAAAAACTTTGGGGAAAAGAGTGTTTTGCAGGATTAGGCCTGCCAGAGGGGAGCGCAGCACTGGAGTCCCTTTATAGCACAGGGGAGAAGGGTAGAGGAATGAGAGAGAGAGATGAAAGGTGCAAAAGAGATGTGAGATGAGAGAGGGAGGGAGGGAAGGAGAGGGCAAAAGAGGGAGAGTGTGGGGAGGGAGGAAGAGAGAGAGAAAAGGGAGGGCAAGCAGGAGAGAGGGGGAGAGAGAAGAGAAACCAACAAGTGGGGGAGGCAACCAAAAAGGGACCATGTCCCCATTGCAGAAATGCATTTGGGCTCAGATCCTCCCCGGGGAAAGAACAGAGCCCCAGAAACTGCCATGTCCTGCCTCTAGCAAAGGGCAGCCTGGTCACCAGAGCTGATCTGAAGCCCAGCTCAGCTGTTTGTCATGTGTGGTCTGATGTTAGTAGCTTAATATCAATGTTTAATTTCTTGTTCCAAGAATAGATGTGTGTGATAAGTAACTGGAAGAATATATGTAAATCAACTACTAAACTACCAGGACTTATAGGAAGCACTCAGTAAACAGCAGCTGTTGCTTTATTAGTGTTAATAAAACATCATCAGGGGCTCCATAAATATTAGTTAAATTAATAAAGAAACTCTTCCTCCTCTCCTTTCCTTCCTTCTTCCTTCTGAATCATATAACCTCTGATTCTCCAAACTCAAATTTCAGCTGAGTTGGTTTCAGGCTGTAAATTCTACTGAACTGCAATTTTAGGCCTTTGTGGACTCTATTTGGGAGACACAAAGGGGCACATTTAAAGTTCTAAATAATATAAACAATTAAAGTTTTAGATGAGGAACCACTTCTAAAATAAGAATTGCATTTACAATGGCTCATACTCCTACAGAGAAATTGATTTTTAGTAGTTTCTTCTCCAATATCCTGCCTGACCAGAGCCTCTCAATCCATGAGGGTGGGGACACCCACTTTGGCTTTTTCGCCCTACCACCTGTTGCTGACCAGCGAGACGACATTAGTAGATCCCGAGCTCCCAGTGTCTTTGTGGAGTCAAGGGCAGGTGGGCAGCCAGAACATGTGCCCTGTCTCCGTGCCCCCAGCCAGAACACTGTGATCAGGAAATCTGTTTAAGAACATTTAAGTAAAAACTGAACTAAATTCAGAACTTTCAAGTTGGCACAGGACTGAATGGAACAGGAGGCTGTTTCTGATTCACAATTAAACAAAAGGAGAAAGAACAGGTGAAACATTTTCCTTCTAACAAGAAAACTTTTTCCTCAAGTTGCTGGTCTGCCCGAAACCTGAATTGCATGTAGGTTTGAAGCAGAGCACATATCAGTGATTCCCAACTTTAGGTTTATAATACCCCGAGGTCCCTCTGGTATTCTTAAAAAGATTTCTTATATTTTCCAAACAAAATTAATGTTACTTCTTCCCTTAATTAAAGATATATTTAAATATGTATATGTGTACCTATAGAACACATTTTAAAATGGATGTATATGCTCCACGAAATTAAACAATGATGACCGATTGGGTGTTAAAACTCTGAAAAGGTGGGGAATCACTGACCTGGATTATCCCTGGAAGCCAGGAAGGAAAATAAAATAGTTCAGATTCTAAGCCAGTTTACACTTTGCCTTTGTCCAAATAACACATGCAGTGTTGGCCACTGGCAATGAGAGTGCAGTTGCCCATAGCAGAGGGGTCTAGAGAGGCCCAGGCTTTGCTGCCAACCACTACCCTCATTTGCTTCTACCAGCTTCCTAGGTGAATTTGGCCCTCTGGTATAGGAACAAAGAGACAAAATATTTCCTCACCAATAATGGATCTGACTGTCTTATTTCTTTCACATATTAGTGTTCTACCCAAACACCATGAATCTGTATTATCTCTATTTTTACAAATTTTACATTTTAAACTACATTTTAAGATATTTACATATAGAAATAATTACTATAAAGATTAATAAAATAATCCACTATTTTCTTGCAAACACACAAGTATGAGTGACTAATAAGCTCATGAAACACATTAAGAACCTCTTGTTGGCAAGAATTATTTGTACCAGTAACATGAGACCTATTATATAATTTGGACTTCTAAAAAATAACTAGTAATCCTGACTGATTTAAGGCCTAAATAAGTAAAAATTAATGAAATCTTAATGTAGTTTAGAATACTAAATATCCTAGGTAGTTTTCAATATTAAACATTTCAGAATCACCACTCAAAGAAGCCAACAGAGCTATGAATCTACATTATCTATAAATTTACAAAATGCTTTTTACTAAGGTCCTCAAATGTTTGCTGAAATGAATTAGGAAGTGATGAAAACCATTAAAAAGTGATGGAATTTAGTTATCTTAAATATTTATACCACTTATAATGTATTGCTCATGAGCCTAGGAAATTTATCCAACTCCCTTGCAAACAGAGCTAAAGCTTAGTTTTACAGTCCCCTCTCCCACCCATTTATAGACACAGCAGCTTTTGATACCATAATTTATTTCACAGTTACTATGGAAAAAAACAAACATCATCACCAAACTGGAATGGTGCTAAAAAATGTTTCAAATGCCTAGAGACGTCCAACTCTTCCTGACACTTCGAGCTACCCACCTTCCACTGCAAAGTTAGTGAACTTTTGCTCCTGTGCGCCAGCTTGGGCGGGAACGGGCATTCGGGCGCGCAGCTGTGGGTGGTGAAGCTGACTGGCTCAGAGCAGGATCCCTTTACAGAATTGTACACGGCGTATATCCTGAAAACAAAACAGACAAGTACAGTCAGTGGCACTGGCCCATCATAGAGGAGCAGGGCTTTCCACAGCAGCACAGATTTTCTTACACAGTGCACACGTGACTCTTGTTCTTTCTTACCTGGTGGTCTCGCCCTGCCCTAAAGTACGGTCAACGCTTCCAGGGGATACTCACCCCTGCAGGCAACGTGCCTCAATGTGTTCTCTCCATCTGCTAATGGTAAGAACCGACCAGTTCCATTTAAGATAGGCGAGGTCTACCGACTGAAAAAGACTATGCTAAATACCCTAAATCCCCAGAAAGGTCTCCAAATATACATTCTAAAAAACAACCTGTCACTCTCCAGTTGACCTGGTCTGAAAAATGGCTAAAGGTAAAGAGTTGGTGAAAGATAAGAAGCAGAGATAAGAGTCAGAGGCAGCACAGAAGTATAAGCAATAAGGACCTTGGAGTAACACTGCACATGTTCAGGCAGAAATATGGACATTTCCGACATGAAAACATGGTTCCTACTGCTGATTACACCTCCCTTTAATTCAGCAAAAACAATGTTCAGGTACAGTTTACCCATGTGAAGATTTAACTCCTGCACCTGGTGCCAAGATTAAAGATGTATACTCTGCACATTAAAATGCCTGACCCAACACTGAACATATGTGTTCATATGTGCCTGATAACTCCAGAGAACCTGTGAAGAAAAATGGGCTATTATGTTGATTTTTAATGTCCTACTTTCTACTTTTCCATTTTTTATATTGAGCATTAAAAAATTGAAAACATATTCTTTGAAAAAGACAACAAAGACAAAAAAATCTAAAAGCAATGCAAGGATTGAGCTATATGGAGTGAAAAAATACTTATCAAGTTCTTAATTCTTACAACAGAAAGGTGAAGTAGATTCCCCAGGGCTACATGGTTAGAAAGTGGGGTCAGCTGTACTCAGCTGCAGAAGTCTAACTGCTGCGCTGTCCTGCCCGCTGCACTTCCTCTCCTGTGATCCATGTCTCTGGACACCTACAATCCATTTCCCCTCCCTCTTCCAGCGAACAACAGCCAAAGAAAACATTATGGAAAGCGCATCCTAATTAGCTGTGTGATTTGCAAAATCTTTTCTCCTCAAGGCCCATCACAAAGGATTTACAGAGCCCATCCGAGTCAAAAACACACAGGGTAGGGCAAAAGTAGGTTTACAGTTGTGAGTATATAACACAGTTTATTCTTGTATTACTACTTATTCATTGTTGTATTGTTTTTCCATACAAACAACTAAACTTACTTTGGCCCCATCTTGTATTAGTAAAATCATAAAGGTAAACATATATTTACTAGATATTTGAGTCACTTGCCTTCTGGGAGGATATCCACCGTGACATTGATCCAAACAAAGAATGCTTATCACTAGGATGCTCTCCATCTGACTTTGATAAAAGAAATGCTTTTTTTTTTTTTCATAAGGAGACACATGATAATATAAAACTGAATGGTAGATCTGGCAATATCATTTCCATGTACTAGGACAGGCTCCCTGGGAGTGACTTAAAACAAATCATAGAATGTTCTCGACAAGGGAAGGGTTCCAGCTTGAACTTTAGATCAGAGTTCTCCAACTGGTGGCTTATAGGCTGCATCTGACCCAAAATATGGGGGGCAGGGTGACATAAAATAGTGTTTTTAAATATTAGAGCCACCTGTGAAAGGATATAGGCAATGATCACCACAAACGAGACAAGCAGACATTATGCATTCCTAATGAAAGATTACACCCACTGTCGAAATCATGGCCAGAAAACCCAAGCCCGTATCTGATGAAGCCTCTTCACCTCTTTACAGGAAACACAGAGAGCACATGTTAAGCAACACAACAGGGTTGCAATCAGCCTACTTCACACTGCAGAGAATTCCACAGGACCAGAAAAAAATTATTCCAACAAATAAATTGCAAAGGGAGAGAAAAAAGAGAGGGAGGAAAAACCTATAGATTGAAAGAAATTTGCAAGATACCAGCCACACTGAATATTTATATCACGTTTGCATTCCAATTACAACACACTGAAAGAAAACAAAACCTTCATTTTTAGGACAGCTGAAGAAATAAAAACAGTCTCTATTTTAAAGACATTAAGAAATTTATCGTTCTGTTTTGAATGGGCATGTGAAAATAGTAATGTGGTTTACAGGTGAATTAATATGATGTCCAGACTTTATTTCAAAATAACTGTGGGGGCAAGTAGGGGGAGATGAGGATACCAAGAAAATAAGCGGTTGGGTGATGGGTGTATGACAGTTTATTCAAACTACTGTCTATTTTTTACTATATCTGAAATTTTCTGAAGTAAAGAGTTAAAATAAAAAATTAAGCCAATGCTGAAAAAAAATCTCAGAGATTTCTCATTTTAAAAAAGAAACCTCTGGCTTTTCTTAACAACTAGAAGTTCTAGCAACACTGAGCTGCATATCTGCATGGCAGTAGTTAGATAAAGCTGAGAGCACTCCCCTTAAGAAGGGGCAGACGCTGCCCAGTTCAGAGAACCCCCCACCTGCCACCGTCTCCTTGGCACCAAGACTGTGTTTCAGCTGCCTTTTATCCCACCTGCTTCTCAGTGTGCAGTCACTAGGCATTTGTGAATTACACTCTTATAGAACACTTCCTAAACGTTCACAAACATGGTTTACACCAAAGATCCACCCGGACAACAGAGCAGAGGAAAAGGAGGCAGGGGAAAGGGCTTGCGAAGTGCTCTCTGACCACAGTTGGTTATCCGGGGAGATTTGGACTCAGTCAACTTGTTCCTTCTTTTCAATGAGATTTGTGGAGTCAGAAATCCATACTTATTAGGCCAGAGAAGCACGAGTGATGGAAGCTCCTGGCAGTCAGGTTGGGAGGATGACAGTCGGGATAAAAGAACCTGACGGCAGAAGCAAACTTTTGAGGTAGTTGAAGGTGGCTAGTCCTATGGGCCACATGGAGTTATTGTCCTTGTCTTTACACTCAAAGTAGTGTTCAAATTAGTGTGTTTAAATTAGGAATCAATGACTTTCTACGAAGTGAACAAAATCCATTTCACATGGCAATATAAATGTGCTACATACAGTACCTAAAATTTGACATGATACTTAAGTATCATGATTATATCTGTCACTCAATACTGTTTAGTACAGATAGCAACTAGTGGTTTTTACCAGTCACTTTTATATAAAATATATAAAAGAAAATGCTCTGGAAATGATGCTGCATTTTCAAGAATGTGGCAATTGTGTTTTCACATGATGGTGATGTGTTTTCTTTAAATAGCATGTGGCAGGAAGATTTGTGAAGCACAATTAGTTTCCTAGGTTAAATAAGTCAGCAAAAAATTCAGTTCCTTTTTCATTTATCCCAGCAAAGAAAAATACATTTTTCTAACAATATAATTAGTCTTGTGTTAGGTTTTCATATTTGTTTCAGTTTAAACGCTGACTGTTTATGAAACAGGTGCTCCAAGAATTTCAGAAATTTGCTTCTAGCTTCTTCCAGAACATCTGTAACATCCTACGAGCCACAGCTGCTGGTCGATAACATGTATTTCATAACTCTGCATGGAGCGAGCTGGTCAACCATATTTCTGGAAATGTTTCATCACATAATTTTTCTGGGAAATGTTATTACATGATATCATCGCTGGGAATCTTCTTTGCCAAATTGTTTATGGCAATGACTGGAAAACTGCTTCAAATTTCATCATGAAATTGCCATCCATTCCATCATTCAAATTCCTGATTATCCCATCATTGACAAAAATATAAATTCTTGACTCCCACAGTAAAATGGGTAGGTATTTCAATACTAGTATTAAGTATAAAACTACCGATTAAAGAGAAATATGCTTTTTGTTATATAATCATAAATACTTGTATAAATGAAAATACTTGTATAATACTTCTATGTATTATAAAAATGTTTGTATGTGTATGCATATATATACTGGATTTTTCTCATACCTCCTTCTCAACACACACACACACACACACACATTTTCTCTTATGCACTCACACACAAGATTTTGTATTGGTGGTGTTATACAGTACATAATACAATGTCTGATATGAAAGCACTGAATACATATACTTTGACAATTACAAATTGATTCCTTTTGAACATTCAAGCAATATTAAACCAAAAAGAGCAATGTGTTTAAGAACTGGATAACAAACATAAAAGTGATGACTTTAATAAAAATCTAAGCCAACACCCAAGACCTAACATTCTGCAAATCAGTATAATAGAGGAGCATTAACTTGCTCAATCACCAGGAGAATAAAAAGAATAATAGTTGAAAAGATGTGTAGGCAATGGCACACAAAAATTCAGAGCAAAAAGTGAGAAAGAAACAAAAAACCTTAAAGCCTGAAATGTCTTAGGATATAGTTGTCCATGGGGAATTTGGCCTAAATGACATGACAAGTGCCAATCTAAACAGCCACAGACACATGACTTGTGGCACTGCCCCAGGCATGCCACCAGTCTCTCCGTCATTCGCAGTAACAGTGAGAGGGAGAGGAGTTAAGAGTTGTTACTACCTAGAAACTGGTGTCAACCACCAGACAGTTCAGTGACAGAACGCCATGGCTGAGAGACTACTGCTCAGTAGAAAGGGTTACATATGTGACTGCTAAACTCTGACAATACTAACATGTGGGAGGAAAAAGCTGAACATGAGAAAAGGCATTATATAAAGATATCAAGGAATCAGTGTGAAGGGGACAAAATCAGAAAAGCAAAACCAAAAGCAATAAGAAATGTAAGAATGGAGGCCCCACGTGAGACTTCAGGAGATGGCTTGAGAAAGAAACCTTTCACTCTGCTGAAGAGTGATCCGAATGAGGCCGTCCGCACGCCTTCATCAAAGTGTGCAGTATCAGAACCTGGAAGGGAAATGGAGGAGGCTGGGCGCTGCTAAAATAAGTATGTCCATTTTCATCACTGGCTCCACCGACGTCGCTAGGGCGACACTTGCTAAATTGGTAACGTATAAGCCAATAAACACGGCAATGAATATAATTGCTCATTTTGCGGCTGTATAGTAATGGAATTCTGTAGCTTCTGTTACGAAAATTTTGGGGGTGTATTTCCACACAGCCTTAATAGTCACCTCTAAGGCTAGAGGTGACTATTAAACTGAAACCTATATTTGACGCTACTGTATTTGATAAAAGTTTACATTCCTGGAACCAAAACTTTTGAGAATGTTAATTTAACTGAACCTTAAAAAAAAAAGGACTTTGCTTCTTTTTGTCAGTGCCAAGTATGGTATATTTTTACCCCAACAAAATAGTGAGTGATATGGTCAAACCATTCACAGGCTCAGAGAACCTGCACCAACCTTGGAAAAACAAAACAAACAAAAAAACACATTTATACACTCGACAGGTTTATAATGAATTTGCATTATTTGCTCCCACACCATCTTTTTAAGGCTGGTACCATTATTTCTTCATTTTGTGAATGAGAAAACAAGGCCACAGATGTGCCAATGGCTTGCCAAAGCACACACCTTTACTAAGTGACCAAGCCATTAACCCCAAATTCCAAGCTCTTTCCATTAGATATCAAGCTGCCTTGCCAAAGCAATTCAAGGCAGAGAAAGAAGCTGAACAGAAGAGCTGGAAGTGTTAAGCCTCTTCTCTAGCTTGAAAAGTGAAAGACTATTTAAGGAAAGAGAATGAATCATCTATATACACTGTGGACTAGGCAAGACAAAATAACCTATTTAGACTATAGGCACTTTTCTTAGGAGATAATTTTTTTAAATACTAAAAGAGACCCGAACTTTCAATCTCTCTGGCAGGCAGAGAGCAAATAACAGTTGGTGGTGCCTCAGGCTGCACATGCATGGTATCGCACATGTGTCATACATGTCACAGTGCAGGGGTCTCAAATGTGTTGGAAGAGAATGTGGATCCAAGGCTTCTACATGATAACTGTCTCATACTTCTGTTCCCTTGTGGGGGAATCCATGAATTACTCCTTTCATCTGTCCAGAAGTCCAAGGTATTCGAAAGCCATGGCAGTTAAAAAAAAAAATGATGAGCAATTGTCCAAGATTTAGCTTTAGTAAAAGTGGTTAAGAAAATGAAGGGAAACAACAGACAGGATGGTAAATAAAGGGCCAATGCTTTATGACATTTAAATTTGTTTAAAAAGATACTGTCAGCTCATGAATGAGCAGGAAATTAATAAAGTAAATCTTTAGTAAAGCAATAACAATAAACTGTTAAAAGATGGAGAAAAAAGGAAACATATGTTAACAATGACTAATGGGGAACATTTACATGGCTTTCTATATAGTGTTACATTTTCTGGTTCATTGTTAAACAGACTATTTGACAGAATGATTAAACTATTTCTATTATCATCCCAGCTTTACAAATTATACAAATCTTTTTGTTTGTACAGACTATGTGAAAAGTTCAATGTGTTTGGGCTAAAGCTAATTGACTCAAAACCCAAAAGTTTTGATTTAAACAGGAAGCAATGGTTGCAAAAGAATTCACCTAAACATTACAACAGCTAACCAGATGTACACTTTATTGCTGAATGTAAAACACCTTGCTCTTTTATGCATTGCTTTAAATTTAGTTTTAAATACTTGTGCACCTAATAAGATATTATAACCTGAGCATAGCCCTACTTCCATACCTTTCTCACTGGGAAAATTATGACATAAGGATTCTGTGGTGGACCAAAGTTAAAACAGACAATTCATGGCAAAACCAGACTAGAACTCTAGCCTCCTGATAATTCATATGTTCTTCCTATAAGGTGACCCTGTCTCCCCTCCATCACAAAGGAACATGTGGTATGAATTAACCTTTGGGAAGTATAATAAAGGATGTATACTTAATCCTTGCAATTTTATTACATAATCTTTAATATACAGGTATTTAACTGAAGGAGAGAGAATGTTGTGCATCCTATGAGATCAAATTATAATTTCTGGTCAACTTAAAAATTAAAATAAAATTTTAATTAAAATGAACATATTTTAAACGTTATGGATCATATTTGGAAATCTGCGTATTTGCGAGTGGATGTATGGGTCTATCTACTTTAAATAATCAGATTAGCTCTATAAAAATCTAGGTAATACCTTCCACTTCACAGGTCTGTGGTTGGCTGGGTTTTCTACTAAGATGAGCCAGCCCTGCCTTCCCGAGTAGTCCCAGTAGATATTTCAGAAAAACCACAGTAAGACATTAGGCTACATATCAGACCACACAGGTTCACTGCTTTGCTAAGTCGGGTTAGCTCTTGTTAAAGATAATTTGATATCTGCTTTACTTTTCTTGTTTCAAATTGAAAGGTCTGAATGTGTTCTTGCAAGCTGGGAAGGGCTTTAGTCACATAGGTTGGACACATGGTTTATATTCATGGTCTATAACAAACACTGATACACCCATTTAGTTTTACAGAAAGAAAATATATATTAAACCACACAGTCCAATAGATTATGAGATACATAAAAGTTACTTCAAAAAATAATTTTAAAAATTCTGTTCAATGCATCGCCTACTTTTGGTTGCCAAACGCACCTCTGTATACTCCCAGCCACTATGCCCGAGTGCAGAACAGAAGTGCACTGGAGAATGAATGGACAGATGAAGAGCCAAAGTACTGTAACTTAAAGTTAGGCAAGTGCCATTGACCATGAATTTTATTAAGAAATTAATTTATTTTTAGAAAGAGGATAAGGGAAGGAGAAAGAGAGGGAGAGAAACCTCAACATGTGAGAGACACACTGATTGGTTGGGACTCGCACACTCCCAACCAGGGACCTGGCCCCACTCCCAGGCACGCGCTCTGACCAAGGATCGAACCGGTGACCTTTTGATGTGCAGGACAATGCCCAACACTCTAAGTCCCACCAGTCAGGGCAACCACAAACTTTTCAAAGGGGGCACATAATTGATTTTAGCAATCTGAATTCAATCTAGTTTAGCTCTAACATCCTAACTCACCTCACATGATAATCAGTTGCTGGTCTAAGATCTTTCAGGTTATATTCTAATTCTTCTCCACTGCAAAGAAAAATCATTCATTAGTCAATGATATTAGTTTCAAAAGTAAAACACGTTTTGGATCTGGGTCTCTGACATGTACCAACAATGACACAAGAATTATTATGTCTCATTCTGCCATAAACCAGAAATATACTTTCCAATTTGGTATTAACTATCTTTCTGAACTAGAAAACTAGATGCCTTTTAGTTATGCCCTCCAAAACATGCTAAGTTAAACTTACTAATAGTTCCAAAAGGTCTTACCATTTCTTCAAAGTAAACACATAACAATAAGTAAATACTTAAACAAATTAATAGATAGACAAGATAAATGTAAACGTAAATAACTGTGCTGGCTGTCAACCGGAGGTAGCTCCCAGACTCACCTTGGCAGGAACTGCAGCCACCTCCACTTCTCAACTCTCCTAAAGAAGTTTCAGTCTGCTTCCCTCACATATCAATACTAATAAATAGCTCTACTATAAAATAAAACCACTGATATCATCAGAAGTTGCAATGGAACCTCAACTTAATCATGAGAAAACAACATAAAATAAGGAATGTTCCATTAAAATATTTCTAAAGGTAAGGAGGATGTGGATGGGCATGACTGCATTCTTTAAAAATGCCCTGGATGAAACAAAGAAATATTGCAGAAGTGTTCCAAATTTAAGAAGGCTCAGGATACATGACAACTACACGTGACGTCTGACCCTAGACAGGATCCCGTCCTGGAGCTGGCAAAAAAGGCTGGAACGGGCATTGTTCAGATCGACCGACAAAGTTAGAATACGGATGATCAGTTGATAAAAGTACTGTAGCAGTGTTAATTTGTGAAGCTGACAACTGCACTGTGGCTATTTAATAACAGGTGAATCTGGGTCAAGGGTATACACATATTTCTTATTATATTTACTTTTTCCAAGTTTTATAAATTTAAAATTATTTCAAATAAAAGTAATTGTTCATGTTGTAAACTGGAGGCCAATCTCCACACCTAGCCTGCAGCACTGTAGTTTGACCTGCACGGTGTCTTTGAAGTGTTTTTTTTTTTTTTAATTTGCCGAATTAGTTTAACATTAGGAAAGTTTATGTAACAACTCAGATTTTCAGTATTTCTTGAAAACAAACCAACAAACAAAAACCAAAAACAAACAAACAAAAAAACACCCCCCAAGGAATCAGTGAAGCTTGGCCTGCATTGTCTTCTGGCCACAACCTATTTTAGGTGGGGACAGGAGCTCTCCTGTTCCCCTACTTCCCCACCTTGGCTTTTCTCACTTATGTTACCCGCCTCGTCTTTCTGGGCACTTGAGACTCGCCCCTGCCACAGTGCCTATCTGGCATTAATAGAATCTGTTTCTTGGTGAGGCTGTGGGAAATGCTGCTCTGTATTTCTTTAAGATCTCCACCAATTCTGACCGTTTGGTTGTGAGCCAGAGGAAGGAGTCAGGATTTAATTTTAAGTACAGTGGGGAATCACTGCAGTTTTGTCCACAGGGCAAGGATGCTGTCTGACTTCTATTTCTGCAGGATGGAGGCTGGACTGTAGGAGAGCAATAGAGGATGCGGGAAAACCCTGAGGAAACTCCTGTAGAAGTCCAAGGAACAGACAACAGAGCACTATGGGCAGCCAGAGGAGCTGACTGGCTATGGGACTTCCTTCCCTATCTCCCCTGTTCTTTGTCCTGACGAAGACTTGCCTCTGGAGCAGGTTAAGAGTTAGCAACAGGGCCGGTGAGATACAGAGCCTGCAGCACTGATGCAGCAGCAGAATGGGCGAGAAAACCAGCAAGCGGTTTTCTGTGTGGCCACGTTACCCTGGGCTCCAGTCATTCTTGGGGCCACTCACAGGGGTTGAGCGGGAGACGGCTCAGCTCAGACAAGTAATGCATTTTTTGGACCATAAGACACCTAGGTTTTAGAGGAAAATAGGAAAAAACTTTTGAAGCAAAAAATGTGGTAAAATATTTAATAACATAACATAGTATTTCACCAAGGTAAATGTAAACAGAACTTAGCAGTAGCATAAACAACCATCATTCCTCCCAAATGGAGGGTGGGGGGGAGTGCATCTTATAGTCTGAAAAATACGTAGTTAAAACAAAACCAACTCTGATTTCTGTCCTGCAAATGTGCCCAGTCCCTACAATTACAGAGAAGACTTGACCCTAAAAAACTTTATCACCTTCAGAACATGGTTGTAAATCATCTGAATGGCTAACACCTGGGAGTCCATAAAGCAGAAGATAATCCCTTATTCTGTGTGCTAAACGTCTGGGCATTTAAGAAAGCCTTGCCATGAAACACTTTAAAGTAATTTTTACTACAGGATAGAAAATATTAAGGAAGATAAAACTTACAGTGTCATTTTTGTTTCATATAACCATGAAATGTATTGCAAATTAAAAAAAAAAAAAACTAGTTATAGGCCTGAGTCTAAAAAGGGGTAATCATATGAGTATATAATATAGGTAAAAACTAAAAGTCACGGTCATGTTTTTCCCTGATAGACATTAATAGAAAATTTTCATTAATTCTATACTGACAAGCTAAAAAAAATGAAATGATGTATTTCACCAACACCAAATAGCTTTATAATTAGTCATTTCTGATTAATTACTCTAGACAAAATCAACTCTTGACATTCTAATTATCACTAATTCTTTTTAAATTGTTGTTCAAGAAGTTTTCTGCCCTTTACCCCATCTCAGCCTACCCCTAGCCCTCCCCTCCCGTCTCCACCCCTCCCTCCTTGTTATTGTCCATGTATCCTTTACCCTTTTCCTTCAAACCTTTCCCCCCTTCCCCTGAAATTCTCTCCCCTCTCCCCTCTGGTCACTGTCAGCCTGTTCCCAATTTCGGTGTCTTTGGTTATATTTTGCTTGTTTGTTTGTTTTGTAATTATCACTAATTCTTAAATGAACAATTTAAAGGAAAATCTGCAAAGCCTTCCAATTTTCTTTTGTTTTTTCTCTTCCTTAATGGCCCCAGTTTCATTATTACGCTGCAGAGAAATACATGAGAATAATATACACCACCTGTAAATTATCTTGTATTTCCCATCGCGTCCCTTGTCGGACAAGGCGACCTCGTAACTGTAGGGGAAGGTAAGGCCGCTGTGGGGTCCGCATGAAAGTCCAACAGGGGGAGCCCAGGACAACACGACTGCTCTTGCCTGAATGTTAGAAACCTGAGGAAGAAAAACATAAACACAACCACTCAAATCCATTCCACACTAAATCAAACTCTACTTCTTCCAATGACATTTTTGGGATTAGCGGTGGCGGTAAGAGACTCCCTTTCCCTTGGATTTAATTCCAGGTGACAATTCCACTTTACTGACAGCACAGACAAGCACCCTCCATGGCGCTGTGCTCTCTCGTCAGGCCCTCGTGTCCACAATACAGCGCCTGCAACATCTGTCCTCATACCGCACACCCTGACCCAGTCCTTTGTAATTCCTGCCCCATGCTGCAGAAAATAAGATAATCTGTCATGTTTGGTAATTGGTTAAAGGTGAAAATCTGAACATAAGGCTTCACTGATCAAGATTCTATAACATTATGTGGAAGAAGCCATACCCAAAGGTACCTTCCTGGGGCCTCCAAAGCCTTGGGTGGTGCAGAATTATTCTGCAAGGCTAATACAGCAAGTAATCACTTAACATTGTCAACTGGTTCTGCAACTTTAAGTGAAAATGATGCATAACAAAACCTAACAAAACCAACTTTACCATAGGCTAACTGATATAAATAAGTTTCTGTGGCATTTCAACAACAGTATAAAGGAGTGATGCTGAACTGAGCAAAGTGAGGTTATCTGCGGACCCACTCACTGTACCTTACGAATGAAGCTGCTTTCAAGTCCTGTGGGCTCCCTGGATACCAAGGCCCAGGACGACGGGGTACAAACGTGTGTGGAGGTGGACAGTTCACCTCTGCAAGCTCTGCTTCCATCTTTATGGTTTAACGTCATTTGAACACAGCAGTCTGAGGCTTGAAGTACCCCAACTTCCTTCCCTTACTAAGGACTTCCCTAGGGCACGTTCTGTACCATCTGCCAGCTATCTTCAGTGGACTCCCCACCGGCTGCCCACAGCGGTGGCCAGCTCACTTCCAGACCCCATGCTGGCTTCTTTCCCTTCCTCACCTGGGACACCTCCCCATAGACATGACTTACTTTCAAAATGTTTCTGGAGAAACCCAACCTAATGCGTGGTCTAATTCTGTAAAATCACTCTATGAACAGAATTTTAATGTTCTAATTTTATAGAGGTTATTTTGTTGCTCTCTGGATAACATTAAAAACCAACTAAGAGTTAATATAGACACCAAAGCTTCATGTTCATACTTTATAGCTATAGAGTATCAGGCTGTGGATGGAGATATGTAAACTGCTCCATATCCATCTTTTTGTCTTCCACATCTGTCATTATCTGATCTACATAAAGAGTGCTAAGATGTAATATAAAATTATTTAAAAGTATGAGGAGTAAAAATGAAAACTGAGTCTCCCTTTTCAGCCTGTTACTCATTCCATTTTTTGCAGACTGTTCCACAGCATTTCTGGTCTGCACAGATATAGTCATGATATATAAGTAACCAATTATCTAATCAAACTTCTATTCACGCTGTAAGAGCCAGCCTAGCCTCACTATCCCCAAATAGCCTTTCCTGAAGTATCTCACCCATCACCATTCCTCTTGTCCACAGAACCTGGTTGATATCTCTACTACTGCTGACCATGCTGACGCTAAATCTCTACCTTCTCCACTGCACTGTGGGGCACCCTAAAGACAGGGCCCAAGTCATATTCAATCGTGAGTAGTGGTTTCTTAGTAAATGTTTGTTGTAAAATAAAAAATAAAAATCAAAGGGAGTAATAAGACAGTCCGAGTTTATGATATAGGGGTCAGTGAATGGTAAACTAGCATTACACATCTTTCTAAAACCTCTGATGACACACTGTTACAGAATCAATCCAGCCTTCTTTTTAAAAAAATATCCTCACCCAAGGATATGTTTACTGATTTTTGAGAAAGGAAGGGAGGGGGGGGAGGAAAGGCGAGAGAAATAGAGGAAGGGAGAGAAACATCGATCAGTTGCCTCCCTCCCTGACTAGGGACAGAATCCACGACGTAGGTATGTGCCCTGGTGATAGATCAAACCCATGACCTTTAGGTGTATGGGACGATGCTCCAACCAACTGAGCCACCTGGCCAAGGCAGACCCACGCCTTCTCGCTATGGCTCTAGGCAAGCAGCGCGCCTCCTGCTGCACCCCTCCTCTGCCGTGCAGTTGTGACACGCCTTCAGGATGCCGCCCCTTTGTAAAACTCTGGGACTTGGCTTTTGACTTTCTTGCTTTCTTGGCTTTAGCAAACTTCTTTTAGACCCAGTTCAAAGGCTGCTTTTGTTTATTCTTTTAATCCTCATCCCTCACCCTGTGAGGGCCTGTGGGCACACAGGTGATTAAGATACGAGCTCTACCTCAAGAAGCACCAACCCAGTGGAGAGAAACAGATGCGTGGGGGGCCTTGTAGGGGACACATGGAGCGCAGGGACCCACAGCAGCAGTTTGTGACTGATTCAGGAAAGGTTGCTGTGCCGTCCTGTCTGGCCTTCTGCTCAGAATCAACCACTATTTTCTTTGTGCTTGGGCTGCATTTTGCTGCTACCTGTATTTGGCACCTTTTGCACTGTACTGTGCTTTGCTTGGTCATTTGTGCATCGTTCCCCTGACTCCATGTTAAGACAGCATTTCCACTGTGCACACCAAAGTATTTGCTGAATTCCTTCACATGCCACCAATGAGTGATCTTGAGCTACTAAGTACTAGATTTGATTTTTAACTTAAAAGGAGATATTTTGCTATGAAAAGTTCAGTTCATAATTTAAAAGGTGGCTGACTAGGTACTGGGAAACCTTCCACTGAGGTGATAAATGGCTGCTCTGCACAATTCCAAAAGCACAGTGGGTAGTAACTCTGATTCCATGACTGGTGGTGTGAAATACCATCACGTCTCAAAACAATTCAGTCCGAAGCAAGCACTTCAGATGCTGAACAAGGATTCATCGATTCACAACCTTTTAGCCTATCTTTTCCATCAGCTACTAAGAATTTACGATTTTCCTTTTGGACATGGTTAAATTATTACTTAACCTAACAGTGATGCACAACACTTGGAGCATCAACTAAAATTGTGTCCAACTTCTCCCTAGATTTGCCTTAAATGGGCGAGCCGACACCTGTGCAACACAGAGAACACGGAGAACGCGGCTCTCCGGGCAAACGCAGTCTTCTGACGGACAGCCTATCAGAAATGCACTAAGAACTCGGCATCACTTTCAAAGGACAGCAGCTTCTGGGAATTTTTTCCTCGAGCTAAGCAACCAGCCTGCCACCTAGATTACTGCCACGGCTATGGGGCCAAACCCCTCCTGTGCGCTGTGGCTGCCTCCCTTTCACTGATTCCTGGGCCTCAGGTTTCCTTTCTTTAGGCAGTGGAAGCAGAGAGAAAGAAGGCTTTGTCTCTGTTAGAACTTGGAACTCACTCCCATTTCAAGGCTGATGCCAGCAAATTACATGGTGCCTTTCAAGAGAATGCCACGTAAAAGGGAATCCTCAGCATCAGATGTGCATTTCCGCCAAGTGTGCAGGGAGGTGATAACCTTGATGAGAGATTCAGAACTCTAGCAAATCCGCTTGGGTTCAGGCCTCTTTCTGAGCAACTGCATGCTCACACAAGCTTCCCTCTCTGGGGTGGAATTTTCTCACCAGCAGTGGCCACTGAGCTGAACTGGGGCACGGCTAATCTGATCATCACAGTGACTGTCATGGCTGTTACCCAAAAATAGAAGCTCCGAGGCCACAAAACTAAATGACTTTCTGATGTTTAATTACTCTGCCATAAATAGCAGTCGATCCCTTTTGTGATGGTGATTAAAGTGGTGATTTCTAAATACAGACTTATTGGACAAGACCCAATTTGACATATGTCTCGGCCCTAGTGATATACTGGTCTCTTGTGTGGGTCACTTGTGTTAAGTCTGCACAGAAATTATTTAAATTACACTACTTTAAAGTATCTTGAAGGACTCCAGAACCACCAACTACTTCTAAATGATTACACACTGACTGGAAATCATTCTTGCCTGTGTATTTACCAAATGGAGATTCCCACTTGAGAACAGTTGTTAGTTAAAAGCATCTGTGTGCACACATTCGGAATGACAGGACTGCATTATTTGGTAGCTGTTCGATATCTAACCCTTAGTTCCCTTCCTCTCCTGTTCTTCCCAGGCGATACGAGATACAAATGGTGTTATTTGGATCAAAAACACCATTTCCTCTCATGAAGTTAATAAATTTGTTATTGTCATGTTTAAAAATATTTCTACTTAAGTTAGTTAGTAGCTTCTAAATTTGGTCTGGTCTTTGGATTTCACTATGTGGGTGGTCTGCTGATCCAATTAGTAAGTATGTTAAAGAAACATGACCATAAATACCATAAAAATACTGGCTTCACTTCAAAAGCACCATCATGAAAAATAATAACACAAAGGAAAATTCAAAAGGAAAAGGTCACAGAGGTCATCACTCAAAGGAATAAAGGACATTCAAATACAGGGTTTTCACAATCATATGTTTCTGCAAATCCTTAAATGCTAAAAACCTAAAATCTGTTTCCAGACATACTGCTGTTTATCTTTCAAGGAAGAATCGCTTCTTGGAAGGACAGTTGTTCCTCTTAGTTGTTTCCTCACTTCTGGAGCCAACAAATCAATTTTTTCTATTAGCTAAATGTTAGCAGATGGAAACAATGCAGAAAACACAATTTCAGGTGACATTTACTTACATCATAAAAATGAACAGCCCAGCAGTATGTGGAAGACTTCGTGTAGCACCCACAGCCGAGCAGATTACACCACACTAGGCTGGAGGTGGCTGGTACTAATACAGGCTAATTCCTACACCACTGAGAATAGTATTAAGCTTATTTCTCTAGTGCAGCAGTGGCTGTGAGTACAGTCCCCAAGGCACCTAATTGTTAGTCTCAGGACAAATATCCATTATATTTGTATCCTGGTTTACTCAATGACTAAATATTTGGATCTTTACAGTATCTGGGTTTCTGAAAAGTAAGTAACTTGCTTAATTCAGGATCCCCAAAATTCTAAAAGGATGACTGGAATCCACAAGTCCTCAATACTGTTTTGACACATTAAACAAATCATCTGCAAAATCTCAAAGAAAAATATATGCCTCTTATTTAGTGGCGTTTCCAGATGTGGCTGAAAGAAAAACAATGAAGAACAATGCTTTATACAATTGCATGCAGGACTTTCGGCAATTCCCTTCTTTCTGTACAAGGTGGCCAGACACCCCTCCTTCACATTTCCGAGTGTAACAGGGACTTTCATTTTTCCCTAATGATATGTTATAAACTATAAAGAAATACTCCATACTCCATTCCAAGTACTCTGTAAATAGTATGTAATTTGCTTCTCCATCCCATGTGGTATTTATTATCCTGCCTTTCAAAGATGAGCAAACCTAGACTCAGGGAGGTTATATAACTTACTCAAGGTCACAAAGACAGTTAATGACCATGCTGGACCCCAACCCAGAGAACCAGATTGTACAGCACAGGCCCTTGCCCTCCTGCTGCTGCCTCGGGCTTTGGCGCCGGGCCATCCCCACATTCCGCCAGGCTGGCTGAGCCTCACCTAATGCCGGCCAGTCCTCAGACATTTTTCTCACCTGCCAGAGCCCAGCTGCAACCACTGCAGTCTGCCACACGTTTGCCCTGCAAATGTTTGTTAAGGCTTCACGATGTGACAGTGCTAGGCGTGAGGAGCACAAAGATAAGACACAATCATGCCCTGGCCAGCATGGCTCAGTTGGTTGGAGTGTCACCCTGTAGACCGAATGGATACAGGTTCAACTCCAGGTAGGGGCATCTGCCTAGGTTGTTGGTTCGTTCTCTGGATGGCGTGCGAGAGGCAACCGATCAACATTTCTCTCCCACATCGACGTTTCTCTCCCTCCTTTCCTCTGTCTCTTATAAGCAATGAGCATGTCCTCAGGTGAAGGTAAAAAAAAAAATCATAAATAAGAACTTCGGACAGAGAAAGGTAAAGAGAGAGAGGGAGAGGAAGGAAGGAAGAAAAACGGTGTAAATAACTAACTGGCCTGGGAAAAGGAATGGACTGTCACCAGACCAAGGTGTATATGGGGCCCAGGGGATGGTGTGGGCAGAATAATGTTGCCCACCCCTACCCCCCCACCCAAAGATGTCCACACTGTAATCCCTGGAACATGTGAACATATTACCCTGCAAGGTAAAATGGGAGTTTGGTGATGTCATTAAATTAAGGATCCTGTGAAGCAGAGACTAAGCTGGGTTATCTTTCGGGGCCCAACTTTGTACGTGAAAGAGGGAGGCAGGAGAGTCAGAGTCAGAGAAGGAGACAGGAGGACGAAGGAGGCCACGAGCCAAAGAACGCAGACAGTTTCTAGAAGGCGGCAAGGGCAAGGAATCTGGCTTACCCCCAGAGTCTCCAGTAAGGAATGTAATCCTGTGGACACCTTGATTTTAGCCTAGTGGGGGAACATTCTGACTTTCAAAAACTGCTTGATGGAACCTAATTTTGAGTTTATAGATCTATTTAATCCTGTAGACAGAATCAAGGCAAAGACTGATGCACTTCAATATTGCTTTCATCTTGCTAGAACCATGTGATCCCCAGGAAGCATGGACTCTGTCCCTTCTGCAGTAGAGAAACAGCTAGGAATAACTCAAAAAAACACCATGTATGTGTGACAGAGACAAGGCTGTGAAGTTATGCGAATACACCTGGGACAATCCACTGAACTGCTGCTCTGCCTTCTCTCTCTGACTATGACTTCTGTTTTCCTCATAGAGTTTTTTTCTTTCTGCTGAACTGTATATGTAAACTCATCTTATGATTCTGCCCTCAAGCCCTTCCAGTCTCCCTCTGTACTGCAGCCCGCACCCACCCCCAAAGCTATCACCCACTCCTATGACTGGATCATTCCCATGCATGTGCTCTCCCCATCGGTATCTTGCTATACGCTCTCCACACCGTGCTGACCTACCAGACACTTGCAACTGCCCACTGTGTTTATCCTTCTGGTTTATCCTGCTCTGCTGATAAAACAAGCTTCACGTGGCTACGAATGGCACCAAAAGTATGAAAGGGACACAGACATGAACCTACTCTAGAGAACTCACAGATTACAGGGGAAGATACAGAAACAAGTAAGTGGAGTATGGTGCACTAAATACACGCAGAGCACAGTACTGTGTGGAGTATCCCACCCAATGGGCAGATACAGCAATCAGGGAGCACGTTAGAGGAAGCGACTAAAAGGAAGCATCTAAGCCCAAAAGCCCAGTCATCATGACACCTAATAAGGTGTCTCCTTATTATTTCTCCTTAGAATGGCTCTAGCATCCACCCTCCCCTTGCCACGGCTGATGCCACGACCGATGCCACGACCTAATTCTGACTTCCACAGCCTCTCACCAGCACTATGGTAACAGACTCCTGACACGTCTCCCTGGGTCCATCCTCCTCTCACTCCAATGCATCAGCCAACTGTCTGAATGTTCTGAAAATACAGCCCTGATTACATAACTTCTTTGCTCAAAAACTCTAAATGGCAACCTGCTCCTTAGCAGGGTAAGTGCAGACTCCCCAACCCAACACCAACACCCCACTCCTCTACAAGTACCGCATTGTGCCCCTCCTCCAACACACCTCAGGCTTTTAGGTTTAATCAAACTCAGCTATGTACTGTACCCTGAGGCATGTTTGGACTCTTCTGTTAAAAAGCCTCAGTATTTCAAACACAGAAAGAATCAAGGTTTTCCCATTTGGGGGAAAAAAACACTCCCAAGAACTTGGCTCTCTAATCTCAGATGAAAGGCTGAATCAACATTTTGAATTTTTCCCTTCAATTTCAGAGCACCTGGCAAAATCAAGCTTAAAACCTCCTAATATCACCACTACCACCAATTTTTTTCCCTTGACATTACACTCAATGTTTTGGACTTGTTTTTCTCAACCAATATTTAAGTATCTTTTTGAAATTTACCTGGAAAAATACTTGGAATTACTGAGATTTTCAAAACTTACTACTGCATTTACATAGGTAAAAGAAAATTACTGAAAGAAAACTGTTCTGTAGACCTTAGGGATCGGGGGGGGGGGGGGGGGCGGCGCTGTACCTTTGGAGGTTATGAAGAATACCTCACTGCATTCAGAGTACCTAAATACAGAGGACATTTCAGTGGATTACAACTACACAGAAGACCTCTGTTCTGTATTTTCATGCTCCATTAATAGCAGCACTATTTCATAGTTTATGAATAATCTGCAATGGGAAGGGGCCCTTTTGCTTACCTACTATGTGGTGAAAGAAAAGCACACTTGAAATACTTAAGAAAGTGTCATTTATGCTGAGACATCCAGAAGACATACCTGTGGTTTCTCTATTCCCGAAAGAATGTCTTGCACCCTCTTTACTTCCAACTCATACTCTGCATGGAAAAAGAGGCGGGGGAGAAAAAAACAGTTAATACTGTTAGAAGGCAGTAAGGCTGTCAAGTACCTTCCCCAAGACCCATACCAAAGGTTATCATTCAGTCAGTTGCCTGTTATCATCAACTTCTGGTACCACAAACATGATAATAAAAATCAGGAATGGGGTGAAATGGGGATTTCACTGTGGTTGTGCTAACTAGCCACTACATTGGCTTACATACTCACAAAGTTGATGAAATTAACACTGAGTTCCACCTAATAGTTCAATAGGCAACAGGGAATAGAGGTCCTAAGAAGGCAAAGGAGGAAGAGGAAGGTACCAGTACAGCTGGAAACTGAGTGAAAGGAAGAGGCAAGTCTGAAGAGACAGGTGCCAGCCAGTTCATGCAGGGCTGTGAATTCAGGCTTTTGAGTTCAATTTTTATTCTAAGTAGGATGGGCAGCCACTGGAGTGTTTAAGTAGAGGAGCTGACATGATCTTATTTTGAGTCTGAAAAGCTCTGTTTGGCCCTGGCTGGTGTAGCTCAGTGGAATGAGTGCTGGCCTGTGAACCAAAAAAAAAAAAATTCTGTTTGGCTTCTGCATGACAAATGGACCTGTGAAGGTAAGGGTGGGAGCACAATGACCAGGCAGGACATGGTTGCACTGATGCAGGTGAAAGATAAAGCTGGCCTAGGTTGGGGATGGTAGTACAGACGGTGAGAATAGGACTGGTTAGGGAGGTGAAAGTGCCAAAGGACTGGATATGATGGGCAGGGGTGAGAGAATGAGAAGAAATCAGGGTTCAAGAATTATCCCTAGATGTTGGCTTAATCAACTAGATCAAGGGTGTCAAAATCATTTTGACTGGGGGCGACATCAGCCTCATGGTTGCCTTCAAAAGGCTGAATGTAATTTTAGGACTGTATAAATGTAACTACTCCTCAACTACGGGCAAGGAGCTCGGCACTGCCACTGGGTAGAAACAAGGTGCCTGGCTGGATAAAACAAGGTGGAGGGCCAGATGTGGCCCTCGGGTCTTGTGTTTGCCGCCTCTGAACTGGATGAATGATGATATCTTTTAATTAGATGAGGAGATGGGCAAGTTTTGGAGAAGGGCAAGAACTATTTTAGAAACGAAAGAGGGGAATTGCTAGAAATAGGGAGGATAGGGTAGGAAGGTTGTATATAAAAAAAGATACATGTTAGAATTTAAACTTAAGAATCTGTTTTGCTAGCGGAACCTTCTGACTTTCAAAACCTGCCTGATGGAACCTAATTTTGAGTTTATAGATTTACTTAACTGTTAAACCTAGTTCATGAACTAAATGCTAGGCTATGTGATTACCAAGACATATGTCCTTGCCTTCAAGATATTTCAAGTCTAGTGGGGGTTGGGGTGAGGGTGGAGAGGGACAGCAAATAGACAATTACAATGTGATCGGTGCTGTGGTGAGTAAAACCTGAAAGAGGGGATTCTATAAGCTTCCTAGGGACCACCATCTAGCTGAGCTCTGTGGACAAGCAGGCATGTGGAGATGATGGAAACTGAACTAGGAAGTGAGAGGTCAGTAAGCCCAGCTCTTCACAGGACTGTTCATTCTCATCGTTCATGTCTAATTTCAATGTCACCTTTGCAAAGAATGCCCTCTCAACTCCCAGCCCCTGCCCCACCACTGTGGTCATTCTCATATCCTACTTATAGTCTTCCTATCACTTATCAAAACCTGAAATTTAATCCTCTTGTTTATATGCTCCCTTGTTTATGACTTGTCTTTTCCTACCAAAGTATAAGCTTCTGGAAGGTGGAGATTATATACGGCCAGAGCAGACAATTTTTTTTTCTGTAAATAACCAGATAGTAAATATTTTAACTAATTACATTTTTTATTAAAGTATCACTGACATATACTATTAGTTTCAGGGTTACAACATAAAGATCGAACATTTATACACCTTACAAGTCATCACCACAATAACTTCGACAACCCTCTCTGTTACTGTTCAAAGTCATCACGATAATACTGACAGCACTCCCTGTACTATATGTTACAGTTCCATGACTTATCTACTTTATAACTCAAAATTTATACCTCTTAATCCCTTTCCCCTTTTTTGCCCAGACAGTAAATTTTTTAATCTTTCTGGGCCACACAGGACTGCCACATTCTCCTTTGTTTCTATGGCCATTTAAAAGATCTTTGCCTGAGAAGCACACAGGAACAGGCCACAGGGAGCCTGCAGCTTGCTGACACCGGTGCAGGACATGCTCACCAGTTAGCCCGAGCACCCAGCACAGTTCCAACACAATCCAAGCTCAATGGGTACTTGTGGACTAAGTCGATAAACCATAAAAAATAAGAATTTTAAAAATTCTTATTTTTAATAAGAATACATAAAAAATAAGAATTTATAGTTGGCACCAACCTAAACTATAAAGAGAACAGTTCTTCATATTTTCCCCATTGCATTCTATTCAGTAGAATGTGCTCACCTTTGTTTTGTTGAGAAAAAGAAATAAGCTAGTAGAAATATGCTATTTTTTAAAATTATAACTAATAGAAAGTTCGTTTCCAAAGACCAAATGTCACAAGCTCATTTCTAATCAGGTATTTATGTTGAGATGTAGATAATAATGGAGTATACCCAAAAGTGGAAAGCGCATATACTTGCACCTGTTCTGGAAGCTCCTACTAAGTAAACCATAAGTACTGAGTGCCTTGAAGTGTCAGTAAAAACAACAACAGATGAAGCATCAGCACAGTTACAATAAAACAACCAGTTCAGTTGTTAAAGACAAAACTTTTTCAGTCATTGGTGTTCCCAGAATCTGAAAGACCCTATGATTTCAAACACACACGTAGCTGGATACCTCCCAATGCCAGCTCAGGGAGGCCCCTGTTTCCTCCTGTCAAGACGGACACACTGAAAGGGTCGCAGAAGAACAAGAGGCCAGGCCCAGCCTTGATTTAGCCTAGAACAGAGATGATCGCCTATTCAACAAAAATGGGAAGGATTAAAGAGCTCTGGGAAGGAAGAATCTCAGGACAGTGTACTAAGACATGAAAGAAAGGAGAAAAAGAAAAATCAGAGACCCTCCCCCCAGCCAGCTTCCAAACATTGGTGACAAAAGAAATAGTTATGCTTTTGCAAAAAAGGAATAATGGGAAAGAAGGTTTGATTAGAAAAGGAAAAAAATGTGTATAAAGCGGAAGAGAGTGGGTTTCAGATAAGAGCCAGTAACAGTAGTGAAAGGTCCTCAGATAAACACGACTTCCAGGGAGGGGCCATGACCTCCCGTTTGTCCTACCGTAATAACGAGAGCTGGCAGTTCTGAGCACTTACTCCTGTGCTCGTCAACGCACCATCACCCCACTCATTTTGACAACATCCCTTGCAAGATGGACGTTCTCTGCTCCCTTTTACAGCAGCAGAGAAGACTGAAGTCTACCTTGCACAGCCCAGTTTTCATCTCTGGCACTGAGTACAACACCTGCAGGTGTCTTTGTTGACTGGGGAATGAGGAAGAGGGACAAAGAAACAGGCTCCAAAAGCAGACGTGTCTTCCCCAGAGCCACAAGTCTAGTACATGGTCCCAAAGCAAAAGGAACCTTTGATTGCATCATGACAAATTAGGGAGACATGGGAGTCACAAGGCAGAGAGTGTGGAGAAAGAGGAGCAGAGGTTTGAGACTGGTGGGGTGTTGGATGGGGAGAATGGGAGAAAGAGAAGGCAGCAGCAGAGACTCTCTAAGTCCCAGGAGACCAGTGTGTTGTTGGTGCTTTTTAAACTCCAAAGAAGCTGTTAAGTCAATAAAACAAAGGTCCTTGGAGCTGGGGAGAAGGTATGAGAGAAAAGGAAGAAAAAAAAAAAAAAACAAACAAAACCTGGGCCATGAATGGAGACAATAAAGGATTCTGAGATCAAAAGTAAAAAGGAAGGGCGTGGGGAGGAAAGGTAGTGCCAGGACAATCGCTACCCTATTATCTCAGCAGAAACGCGCATCAAAGCCAGACTGGAACTATTCTTTCCTCCAAGGTTCTAAATTGTGAATGTGGAGAGAAAAGAGAAAAATGCATTCCCACCACATGTATTTAATGCTTTTCCATTTGTGCTGCCACAGACAAAGAGAAAAAAAGTAAGTAAATGCCAGGCACACAATTTGCACAGACAAAAGTGAAAATAAAATGTTTAACTGAGCTAAAGTGACAGTTACCACATATAAAATAAACTCTTGTACATAAAAGCTAACACTCTCTGGTATGAAAATGCCAAAATTCACAACTCTGCTGCCTAAATAACTGAGTTAACTCAGACCTCATCCTAGCTTTCCCTACACAAGATTTAGCTGTGCCTTGGAGCAGCCTTTGAATTATTATCACCCTTTTTATAAAAGAGTTTTGGAGCCCAACTGTCCATAGTATATTCAGAATATGTTTCTGCTTGCATGCATGCTTGCTTTTTCTTTCTGTTCCTGTCTTTCCAAAACATAAACACCGCATTGTGAGCAAGAAGAAAAACAATAGTTAATCCCTTCACAAAACCAAAACAAAACAAAAGAATAGTTCTGATCATTTGCCTTTTGGATAGCTTTTATATCAAATTAAAAAGAAAACCATGTTGGTTCTTGTTTTCCCTCCCTCTAAGAAACTGGTGTGTGGCAAATGAACAAGAGGTTGTCCTAGAAGAGGCAGAAATGCAAGGTTCAGATGCAAGGTGCTCTTCCTGCCTTCTTCCCTATGGTTTGCAGTAAGTATGTTAATCAATCCAGGGGTAACTCCTGCAGGCCAGCTTTGTCTTTCTCCTGGCATGGAAGCTGCCACAAGGTTTAAACAGACTAAAACCATTTTTCCACCCACTTCAATTATGTCTGTGGCCCCAGCTGAAGTGGATGGATAGAAGGGCCCACCTTTTATATCACTGCCTTCTTAATGTCTGAAAGGCGCTTCCTTGCAGTGAAGGTGCTGAAGGATTACAGGGCACTCTCAGGACAGAGCTCCAAACAGAGAAGGGGCA